GAGGAGCCGAGCGTGCGAACTGGCCCGCGCCCGCCGAGGGGCCAGCGCCGGCGGCGAGCTCGACCTCATCGCTGATTTTCTCTCGCTGGGACAGTTCCCGCCTTTGTGCGGAGCGCGGAGGCCTCCAGCGCGCCCCCGCACCGGGGCTCTCCAGCCCCCGCCCGCCCCTCGCTCTGCAGACTCGCGCAGGCCCGGGGGCGTTGCGAGGCGCGCGTGGGGACCCTGCCCCGGCCGCGCCCCGCATCCGTCCTGGCTCGGATTCGAGCCCTCTCCTGGGTTCCTTTCATTTCGCCGCAGACAGCTTCCTCGCAGCCCTCGGATCCCACCCCGGCTTCGCGGCCCCCGCCTGACGCCGAGCGTTTATTGACCTTAGATGGCTCGGGGGCTTTATCAGAGCCGAGGGGCGCCCGCCGCGTCTCCACCTCCCCAGGCGCGGCGGGAGCCCCTTTTAAGCTTTTCTGGCAAGTTCCCCTTCCTTTCCGATTCCGAACTCCGACCCCAGCACCTACAGAAAGGTCGCCTGAACGCGCACGACAGTGGACAGCCCGGAGAGGGCCTAAACAAAGGGACGCGGACATTTCCCTGCAGCGCGCGTTTATCTAGATAATTCAGGTGAAAGTGCCCCCCCAATTATTCGGATAATTGCCTCGAATCTCCACTTGGAGCTGTGTTTACACAATGGGAGATTGATGGCTTGGATCTCTTTCCTCTGCGTGCCGCCCAGGCCCCAAACCTCCTCCTCCCCACTGTGCCCGCTCTGAAACATCTCTGCACTTCACACACGGCCAACTGCAACTTTCCGTCCTGTAAATCACTCGGCAAATATAACCAGGCATTAGAAAGCCATTGGAAATAGGTATTTTATTGGGTTTGAGGAGCAGAACAGGGATAAAGAACCACTTAGTAACATTCCCTAAGCACCAAGCGCAGAAAACTGCCCCTGGGGCTTTTCTCACTCTGGGATCGAGGTCGGAGACCCGTTTAGAGAAGACAAAAGGACACTAGTGGCCAAGTCTCTGTGGCTAAAAATGAACTTTGCAAACGAAAAAACAGGTTCCCCAAGTGGGACTTTGGGGATCTTTTACTCAAGGACGATTTACCAAAACAAGACCAGCAGAAACTTTTGCATTTAGGACTATTAATGTAAAAAAAAAAAAAAAAAAAAGACAACCCAACTCCGGGATCCCACATCACAGGACTCTGACAACCTTCCACAGTAAGGATTTCTCTCGCTGCAGATTGACGTTTCCCTGATTTCCCACAGCTAAAACTCTTTGAATTCTCCATACTTTTGGAGACTGCAAGGAGTGAGAGTATCAGCCCTGGGGGAAAACGAACCAAGGACAGGAAGCCTAGGGGTCAGGAAAGAAGAGTGGAAGTTTTGAAACAGATTTAGAATCCACCCCGAGGGAAGTCTTCGGCCATGGCTGGACAAGCAAAGGCACCCAGAGGGAATGGTTTTCCTTTCTCTGCCAGGCAGAACTAATATTTGTAGGCCGGGCACCCAGACCAAGACTTTAAACCCAATCCCACCAAGGCCAGAACAGCTCTTGCTGGACTTCCAGAGCCTACAGAGTTAAAAATGCCATTGTTTGTTTTCAACCTTTGAGCAAGGGGAGGAGGCGGGGGCTGGCTGGTAGGGAGCAGAGTTTCCCACCCACGGGAGCTGGGCCTCCTGCTTCCCTGCCCAGGCCATCTCAAAGCTGCCCCTGCCCCTAACTTGGTGCCCGCTTTTCTTTTGGATTTAGCCCTTTTCTCAGCTACAAAGACAGTTCAAAATTCAGTTGCTCACACTGGACTTTAGGGGAAGGAGAGGTTCAACTGGACGCATCTGGAAAAGTGTATTCAGCCCAAAGCATATGCAGCCCAAAGCATCGGGAACCGAGCTCTTCCAAGCACGCGGTGCCTGCCCATTGCTTGCCTGGCTCCAGCATAAATGAAAATTAAGCTTCACATTGCGCCTGGCTGGCCCAGGCTTGACCAGTGAATAGGCAAAGAAAAGTCTCAGATCCTGTAAGAGCTTTTCACTAATGCAAGGCCGTAGGACACACAGGCGACTGAGCTAGCTCTAATGGGGCTGGGGAGGCTCGCAGGAGCTTTCCAGTGGGGTTTTTGAGAGAACCCCACGTGTCTAGGGCCACACCACCCTAGGTGCCGGACCTCATTTTAAGAGGACTCCAGGAAGCAATGCAACTTGGGTCTCCGATACTTGGTCGAATCTGCTTGGTTTCTGATGTGGTGCTTTTCCAGCTAGCTTTTCCTTGAGAGACCAACCACCTCATCTATTTCTGACTGTAGGAGTGGGCCGCTGAGCCCGTAAATGGAGAAAGTAAAATACCAAACAATGCCAGAAAGAGAAAGAGAGAAACAAAGCAGACCGGAAGCCGGGCCTCTGTGGCTTGGCCTTGGAGAAGCTCACCCTCTCTCCCCTCTGCAAAGGCCCAGGCCTCCCACAGGCCCTCCTCACAGCTGGGCTGGCAATGGGAAGGCCTTGCCCTCCCCTCTTTCCCCTTCATCCCTCTCCCCACGGCTTCAGATCCTGAAGTTTCCCAGGCTTTCCCTTTTTTGCTTCCCGGGGCTCCTGCCAACCTCCCGGGCAGCGGAGCCACCTGGAGGGCCAGGAGGGGACTCACCCATGGTGAGAGCAGTGTCCCTGAGCACCTCAGGCCCAAGCCTGCTGGAGCAAACTCTCAGGGGCAGCCCGGAGCCTGGGCCTGCCTCTCCTGGCTGTCCTCAGTCCGTGGGAGGGAGACGTTGTGAGTCCTGTCTTCCAGCTCCCTCCCAGCAACCAGCTTCCCTCCAGAATTAGATAACAGGAAAAATAGATAAGGGAAGTGGTTCATTAATTCAGCAAGCCCTGAGCATGGGTTTTTCTTTTTGGTATGTGTAGAAGGGAAAGGAAACCCAGCTAGGGAACGAAGCCCTGGCCAGGCATTCTAAAAAATATCAGCGTTCGGTTCGTGAGATTCCGGAAGGAGATGCCTCTCAAGCTCCCGGCTCAGAGGGACACCAGGGGACGGGCAGCAAAGGTAAGGAGTCACCGTGCACAGGGAGAAGTGCTCAGTCGATGCCAGTCCCACCTTCCAGCAGCAAGAAGGGCTGCTTTGCAGTGTTTGCTCATGTTGTGCAGTTGGGTAGAAATAGCAACAACAAGAAATAGGTTTCACAGTGCGCCCCTCATTAACATTCTGGGGTTCCTTCCAACAGGGCCAGGTAGACAGATTATATATTATCACCCTGGGTCAGTAACTGAGCTGGGAACATGCCACACAGGTCAAGTCACACAGCAAGGAAGAGGTGGACCCATGTTGGATTCCAGATTACTGAATTTTAGTCAAATAATAAACCGATAGAGTCTCGGAATAGGAAGAGACTTCAGAATTCCAAACTCCCACACAAAGCAGGACTTCTCTGCCAGATGATTGCACTGCTTGAATACTTCTGGAGATGGGGAGCTCATTCTCTACATGCCATGGATGTGCAGCCCTGCTGGACTCCAGATGAGCCAGCATCATAGGCCCAGGCACACAGAAAGACACACAGGGTGGAAGCTGCCGTGTGATGTGAGGAACCAGGCAAACAGATCTCTCTTGACAGGCTGGCTGCTAGAGTCCCCTCCTCTGACACCTGGCTTTGTTTAGGGTAGATGTCCCTATGCATTTGATGCAAGAAGAATATACACACAATGCTCTTCTGTCCCGTTGTCTTTCTGAGTTCCTACCCTCTTTGGATCCTCACAGAAATCTTTGCGAGGAAAGGAGAGGCCAGCTGTTGCCTCCAAATCTGGAGCAGGAACCTGGGAGAGGAAAGACAAGGGAGTTGTCAGACACCAAAGAACCAATGTGTGGTGAAGCAGAGAGAGGGAGGTGAAGGAGGCCTGGAAGAAGAAGCGAAAATACAAGAGGAATATGCAAACTTTTCCCTTCCGAGAATGTTAGTTATGACTATCTCCCTGGTGATGGATAAGGTGTCCACATTGCTCTGCCACCCGAAGTTTTCTGTACAACTCCCTCAACGTCAGCTCCTTAACATTCCTGAAGGCTGAGCCCAGCAGGACCAAGGTGAGGTGCAGGTGCAGATGCGGGCTGGGTGGCTGGGTGACATCTCTGCCCAAGGCCCTGCTGGTGTCACCAGGGGAGCACCTTGCTCACTTGGAGGCTCCTTTTATGGAGTTGTTGTTATTGCAAAATGCGCAAAGCACAAGTGTTACCACTTTGGCCATTTAAAGGCATACACTTCAGCGGCGCTAGACACTGTATGTTCATGTTGTGCAGCCGTCTCTGTCGTGCACCTCCGGAATTCATCTCATCTCCCCTGTCCGAAACTCTGTGCCCATTAAACACTAACTCCTTTCTCCCCTTCTATTCCTGGTCCTTGGCAACACCGAACTGCACCACCAGCACTGGAGGAACCCAACGCCTCCTGCATGTGTCTTAGCCGTCCAGGTACATCCCAGTGCCACCTCTGTCCCACTTTCTGTCTCTGTGAACTTGACTGCTCTGGGTATCAGCGGAATCAGACAGAATTTGTCCTTCTGGGACTGGCGTAAGGGGTATGATTAAAAAAAATAAGGTGAATGTTTCAATTTTTAACAATTTATTGCAGTAAAAGGCACATAGCCAGTAATATACTCCAAAAACTCTCCGCCTGGCTTTGGATACACATAATGGATATGTGTTCTAGCCACTTTCTCAGGCAGCTCTGGAAGTGCTCTTTTGTGTCCTTAGTTGCACTATTGCGGCTCCTCAAGGTACTAAATCAAAACAGAACATTTCCCTTTCATGGTGTTTGTGACTTTGGGGAAGAGCCAGAGGTCACACAGTCTCAGGTCCTACGAAGAAGGCAGACGAGGACACACACCCTCACGTTTTCTCATGTCTGTCTTTCCATTGGATGGCACTCAGCAGCAGCATTCACTGTATTTTTGCTCACACCTTGTAAAGGCACTCATGAAAGAGGACTTCCAGAGCTGCTTCGGAGCATGGCCAGAGCAATGGGATACATGTGTTTGGAGCAAGGGGGAGTATTTTGAGGGAGATTAATGTCAGTGTGTCTGACTGTAATAAATTTTTTAAAAATGTAAACATTCATCTTACGCTTTGGTCAGCCTTTGTATTTCACTTAGCACGTGTCCTCGCTGTACATCCATGTTTTGTGCATGTCAGAATTTCCTTCCTTTGAGTTGACTGATACTCAATGTATGTGCAGATCGCGTTTGTTTATCCATCCTTCTGTGAAAGGACACATGGGTTGTTGTTATCTTCTGACTGGTGGAAATAGTGCTGCTAGGAACGTGGGTGTGTAAATACTGGTTCTAATTTCTGCTTTCTCAATTCTTTTGGCTATATTCCCAGAAGGGGAGTTGCTGGATTGTATGGTAATTCTCTATATAATCATTTGGATCACCACTGTTTTCTGTACCTAATGGAATGTTGATCTGAAATTTGGAGAAGGGGTCTGCATCCTCCTGGGTAACAAATACTGAAAGCAGTGACTTCCACTTAGCCCAGCTGGAGTCATATTGAGGGGCAGATTGTAAAAGACACCAGTTTTGCAGAAGGGAGACGGTTAGAACATTAGGGTCCCTTTAGAATTGCACTGGAGCAGGTCAGAGTGGACTCTGGAATCCTAGGGCAGGAGCAAGAGGACCTACTCTTGACTCACAGCTCTGACATTTCCTCAGCTCAGATATCAACATGTGACCTCATGGATCTGGAGTTCTCACAGCATATGGGGGGCCCCAAGATCCAGGAAAAAATACAACTCATAGAGAACACATTTTTGTGTTCCAAAGTTAAAAACAACGTCCTTCTAGCATTAAAGGCACTTGGTATATTTCCAGTTCTCTTGAGGTTTATGAGTTATTTTGAGAGGTGGAAGGAGTCTGTTTTCGTCCCTTATGATTCAAACTTCCCAGAGGTGTGATGTGTTTGAGACCCGGAAACTCTATGACTCTCAGCCCTAGCTCAGGCCCTGTTGACCAGGCTGGCTAGTGGCGCACTTCTGGGGGTGGAGCACAAGGACTTTCGCCATCTGGGGTGTGGAGAGGTTCTGAGACAGCCAGGGGAGCCAGCACATTGAGGGCGCAGGTGAGGGAAGCTGCTGGTGACTCTAGCTGTGCCTGGGCCCAGGCAAGGCCTGTTGTCTCCTGTGCTTCTTACTAGCTCAGAGGGTCAACCCAGGGATGAGGATGGTGGTGATGTAGTTATGGTGACACCAACCAGAGCTCTGAAAGTCACTTGAGATCCACACCTGCAAGAGGCTCAGAGAGAAGTTCTGAGGAAACCAGTTGAGGTCCTCTCTTCCGGTTCTTCAAACACACCTACTATTCTAGATGTGAATCCTTTGCCAGATACATGGTTTGCAAATATTTTCTCCACATCTACACACTGTCTTTATTTTGTTGTTGTTAGCACTAGAAATTGAACCCGGGGCCTTGTGCTGCAAGGCTGTCCTACTGAGCCATATCTCTGTAGGTCTCATGAAGTCATCTGGGCCAGTCTTGAACTCACAATCCTCCTGCCTCAGCTTTCCAAGTAACTGGGGTTACAGATGTGTGCCACCATGCCCAGTGTCTTTTCTTCTTAAGAGTCTCTTTCACAGAACAGAAGTTTTAAATTTTTATGAAGCCCTGTGTATTGCTTTTTATTTATTATGCTTGTAAGTTGGTCTTCATGTCTAAGCATTCTTCACCAAGGTCTAGGTTATGAAGATTTTCTTCTAAGAGTTTTACACTTTTGCATTTTATATTTAAATCTACTGTCCATTTTGAGTTAGTTTTATATAAAATGTAAATTTAATTCAAAGTTTATCTATTTAGCCTATGCATATCCTATCGCTCCAACACTGTTTGTCCAAAAGACAAATTGAATGGCTTTTGCAGTTGAAAGACTGTGTGCGTGTGGGTCTATTTTCCAGGTTCTCTGTTCTATTCCTTTATCTAGTCATCTGTCTCTATACTAACACCACACAGCCTTGATTACTATAGTGATAGAAACTAATTTTATTTTTTTCCAAATTGCTTTAGCTATTCTAGTTCTTTTGCCTTTCTACATGAATTTTAGAACAATCTTGATTGCATCTTCAAAAACTTCTTGCTAGAACTTTTGCAAGAATTGCATTAAACCTACATGCAAATTTTGGGGAGAACTGACATCTTTACAATGTAAAATCTTCCCAACCATGAACATTGTGTGTCCTTGCATTTATTAAATCTTTGAATTATTTCACGAGAGTTTTATAGTTTTCTGCATGCAAGTTCTCTACATGTATTGCTAGATATATACTTAAGAATCTAAGTTTTGGGAAATTATACCCGATATTGTACTTTTAATTTCAGTTTCTACATAATCATTACTATGATATAAAAGTATAATTTATTTTTGCATGTTGATCTGTTTCCTGCAATCTTTTTTTTGTTCTTCTTGGCTTTTTTCTGGTACCGGGAATCAAGCTCATGACCTTGTGCTTGCCAGGCAGGCGCTGTGCCGCTGAGCTAAATCCCCAGCCCGTGTTTCCTGGGATCTTATAGCTCTCATTTACTATATCTATGAGTGCTCTTTGCAGATCCTTTGAGGTTTTCTAGGTAGATGATTGTGTTATCTCTAAGTAGGTATACTTTTATTTATTCCTTTTTAAAATCTGTATACTTTTATTATTATTCTTAAAACTTGTTTGGTTGTTCTGTCTGGGACTTCCAGTTCTCTGCTGAGTAAAACTAATGAGGATGGAAATTCTTATTTTCTCAGTCTTGGAGACAGCATTCAGCCTTTCACCATTAAATGTAATTTTAACTGTGGATTTTTGTGAGTGTCCTTTGTCAAGTTGAGATAGTTGACTCTATTCCCAATTTCAGAGTTTTTGTATGAATGGTTGTTAAATATTTTCAAAGCTTTTGTTCTGTACCAACTGATAGGGTCATAGGATTTATCTTCCTTAGTCTGTTAATGTGGTAGATCATGTCAATTGATTTTTCAATGTAGAACCTGTTCTACAAGCCTGGAAATAACTCCTGCT